GATAGTTCTTCAATTGTGTTGGGCCTCCTCTGGGGATTGTTCCTTAAACTTCAATGATGGAAGTAGTGGGAAGTGCCTTCCCACTGAGGATTAACTGTCTTGTTTCTTAGGAGGGTTTTCCTGCCATGGATCTTTCATTTTGGGGAAACGTTTTTCTCTCGTCTGCATCTGGTGTTGATCTTGGCTCTGTCCCCGGTGCCTTCTGTTCCTGGGGCTTCCTTTGGTTAGGGAGACCCCAAATTCAGTAACTGGGTGCCTTTTCTTCCTGACTGGTCTTTTGCTTCATTTAAAGAAGGCTTTTAGGTTAACATGGATAATGTGTTGTATCCTTTTCCATTATTTGATATGGACTCCTCAGTGGCTCTTTTTGAAGTGCACTTCCGAGTTCAAGTAGAGTCCCCAGAGGCATTGTATGTTAAGAGGTTTCCAATTTCCGACTTTCACCCTCGGCAGCATGGTCTGCTTTTTTCATGTCTCTCTTTAGGATCAGGACGTTGCATGTTTGATGGCTGGCTTCTTTGGAATTTACGTCACCCACTTCATATTGGATATGGTAGGAGGTTCTTGATTCATCCTGGCCTGTGGGCAACCTAGCTTTACCTTGGGGATCTGGCATGACTTTAGCCATACCCAAATGCTCAAGTGGCATGAGGAGAGTTTGGTCTGTGAGGCTTTTATGGGTGATGCTGCCTTTGCACCGCTTCAGTCTTGGGGTTCATTGTTCCAGCCCTTTTGCAGTTCACCCTATTAATGGTACTGTGGAGGAGGGGGGGCATTGATCCATTTTACCAACTCTTGGTCCTACAATACATGGCCCTTCCAGGTAGAGTCCCAAGACTGACTTTGGAAGTGTCTCTGTGTCAGAGTCTGAGACCCGCAGTCTACCCAACATCTCCTTTGTCACTGGTGTGTTTGAATGCTGGAAACAACCATGGAGTGGTTGAGTTAATCCCCACTCCATGGTGGGTATCTCAGTTCAAATGCAGTAATTAAAGTCCAATTGACCTGACCAGACGAGAAGATAGAAACAGCCACGTACCGGACCAGACCGATCAGCTGAAATAGGTGGAGCTGCAGGAAGATCCCTTGAGTTCAGACACTGAGCAAACAGTGCCTGAAACCAAGGCTGGGCCTGGGCCGGCCACCAAGGGGCCAACAGGACTATTCTTCTCCCTTGGAAAGTCTCCAAGTGAGCCAGGACCTGGAGCAATAACCGAACTGGGGGGAAGAGGTACAGGTAACTCCACCTTGACCAGTCCCGTCAAAAGACATCGACCTCCACGGCCTCGCAGTCGGGGAAGGACGCCGCATAAATCAGATGACGCCTCGACCAAGCCGACACGAAGAGGTCAACTTCCGGGCGTCTAAACATCCGGCAGAGCCAACGGAACGAGACAGCATCTATCATGCATTCTGTGGACAGGGGAATGAACCGGGACAGGCTGTCCGCCAGGACGTTGGACACCCCCTGGATATGAACCACCAGGAAAGCCAAACCCTGAGAACTCGGCAAACGAGTCACCCAAAGCGACCAGACCCGAACAGCTAAGGACTGCATCGAACCCCCTCGGTTCAGGCAATGAACCACTGGGGGAGCAATCCGATGGAGCCGAATTGTCATGTCGCAAGTGATATGAACCCTCTGAAGTGAACACCACACTGCTGTGAACTACCGCAACGTGCTGCGAGCCAGACGGAGGGATGGACCCCTGGCCGGCCTGGTGAGCGCTGGTCACAAAGGCCCAGCCAAAAGACGACGCATCCGTGAACATATCAAGCGAGGGCTTGGGTAGGTGCCACAGCACTGAACCCTGAATAACCCAAAGAGTAAGCCAGCAATGCAGCAGCCGGCGCAATTTCCCTGGGGTTCGATCCCAGCAATCGCGAGAGTGGCAGAAGGAACGTCCACAAAGGAACCAGAACAGCCGCTGAAGCCAGATACGACTCAACAGGTAGACCAGCACGGCGAAGTTCAGACTCCAGCACAGCTGCTCGAATGTTTCCTCATGACCACCTTAGCTCAGATCCACCAGTAGTTGCAGGCATATTCCTGAATGGTGTCCCTGGACCCAGGGTGGGCCTTAGGAGCTGCAGGGCTCAACTGTGAGCAATTTTGGCAAGGTTCCCAGGTTCACAGCCAAGGTCTGTTTTAGTAAAGTGATTTATTAAAATATTTATTTTTATTTTTGTCTAGAAAAACATTCAAAATGTAAGTTAACAGCATTTTTTGGAACAAATTATCTTTTATGGATTTCTAGAAACACTTTTATTATAAAAAAGTTATTTCTTGAGCATTCATCACCAAACTGATAAAAAAAAACATACTGTACTTAATGTTTGACTTATATTTGTATTCCGTCATAAAGAATTCAGCAGACATAAACATTAGCTTGCAAGTTTCTGTTGGTTTTTATGGCTCTGTTAGAAGGCAGTTTTACTTGACAAGACTGGAGCAGAAATTACCCTAGTGCAAAGGCTTCATTGGGCATGGGGGGCTCAGTTGGGACCATTTGGTCCAATTTGCTTAAAGTTGGCCCTGCCTGGACCGAAGGGATGCCTATTAACAAATTCCTATTCATCCCTGGTTCAGGGACTGGTTAGATTCCGTGGAGGAGTGTCAGGCATACCACTTCTGGTTCTCCTGTTCAGCTTGAACATTGTGTACTGCTATTAGCTTTGCAAAATGTTGGCCACCCCCAGAGCGGACCTTTTCACTTCGGTGTGGAATTGGTGACTTCTGGCTTACGTGACTTTTTTTTTTTCATTTGCACGTTATTGGGGTCAGTGGGGGTTATTTTACCTCTTTATTCCAGTCTGGCTGTTTATCCGGGTTCTGTCCAAACTAGAAATGTTCTCTGACAATGTTCTCTTGTTGGCTCCCTTTTGACCAGCCTAGACTTACTTTTTGGCCCTTCAGGCCCATTGTCCAAACCCACTGTTTTTCGCTGCTGTGCCTCTTTCAGTGGACCAGTCCAGAGATGTTTCTTAGTGGTGTGAGGCTTTCCTCTGATCTAATCGTTTGGAGTTTTTGCCTCGTGTATCACTCTTTGTATGATATGCAGGTGGTTGATATTTTCGTATCTTGCCTGTGGGTTTTTGTAGCAACAGTATGAGGATTTTTAGCACTCCTTCCATCATTTTCTCTGTTGCTTGTCCTTGTTTTCTATGCCTTTGGTTGTCTTGATTGTTTGTGGATAGGCTTCTCATGCCGTATCCTGTTGCCTAGTTTCATTCAGCCCCGACAGAGTCGCTACTGTTGGCATTTGATGTTAATGTTGCATTGCTTAGTTTCACAAGTTTTCTTGGGCATTTTTTCACTTCTTGCCTGCTCATGTTGACAGTTTTGCTGCTGTTGCTGTTGAAAACTCAGACAGTCCTGAGTTTTCATGGTCTTTGGACAAGGTTTTAGTTTTCTCTCTTCTCCATGATTTTTTTGTTGCCCCTTCAATCGTGGATTGTTTCTTCGTGGCTATATTTGTTAACCCATGCTTCTGGTTGTTATGTTGGAAAGTTTCATGCTTCCCTTCAAAAGAAGGGTTTTGCTCTTTTGGTCGCTTGTCTACACCCTGAAGGTGCACTGCCCCTTGGCAGTGTGCAAGTGTAACTAAAGGGAGAATTGCTTCACTGAATGGTTCATGAGTCTAAGGATTTGGTCGATGTCTGTTTTGATTTGTACAACTTTTTGGTGGCATTTTCTAGGTTAGGAGTCATTTACTGTCCTCTGCCCCTTTGCCTCTCTTAAAGGTGTCAGATTTTGGCCTCTGGTGCCCAGTAGGCTTATTTATGACTCATAAGGGCCTGACATGGATGAATTGGGTGGAACTTGATAGGGAACAAGCACCAAGGAGCCACTAAAGTCTCGCCAGAAGTAGGTATTGCGTTACTGTCAACATTTTTGTTTCAATTCAAAGTAGCAGGATATTTCATATTTTCGTAGGCCACACATCTCGGGCGTTGGTCGTGGGAGGTGGTTGTAAAGTGGGGCAGGCACTCGGACACATTAAAGGCAAATTGGGAAATGGCAATTGCACTTTAAGTGAAAGTAAAAATACAGTAATTTTACGGTGCTGTATTACAATATACCAATGAATAAAAAAAAATTAGGCCCTAGGTAAATAAATTTTTACTTTACCAAGAAACATATGTTGAAATATCTTCTTAATAACCTCCTAGTTTTCTGCCATTAGTACAATTAAGCGATTAAAACCCTTTCTGGCAAAAGTTTGTCTGCAACATAATAAAAAATTTCACAGAAAATGTAATTATTAGTCGATCCTTATTTTTGTGGTAATTAATACATAAGTACAGTAGTATACTTTTGGTTGACATTATTACATATTGATGGACAAGCATTAAGAAACTAATTGATAACATTGATGAGTTCAAAGGTGAGCTCTACACCAAGTTAGAAACCGTGCAGAGGCATGCCACCAACCCGAGTGCCAGAAATAATTTACATCTGAAAGACAAAAGGAAAAAGGGAAGCATAATAATGTACAGTGTATGAAAGGGTATGATAAGATGGATAAGGAAGATTACTCGTGATTATAGGTAGATCCAGAGGGGAGACTCGACCAAAAAAAAAAAAAATTACTAAGAAAGAGAGAAAGTGAGAGATATGATAGTATTTTTTCTTTAAATTAGAGTTTAGAGTTAGTAAGAACTGGAACACACTTTTAAAACGTGGTGTGAACAAAATAACATGAAAATTTCAAAAGTGAATATTATAAAATTGGAAAATAAAGATTGGAAATCATTAACTTAATCACTCTTCTGTAAAAAACAAATTGGCAGTAAAAGATATCCATGTGTACATGCCGCTCTCATCTGCAAACACACACACACACACACAGGTAAATATATATATACACATATTTTGCTTTATACTCTTATGATTGAGGCAACAGGGCTAACTGTGCTTCTTTTTTTATTATTATATTTTTAAAATTTAAGTAAAGGATTAAATAAAACTTGAAGCCTAAAATTTATTATTTCTTCAGATTGATAACTCTCCAGGTTCGAACAGTAGCTATGCGTCTAGTGGAAACAATAATATGCAACAGCAGGTATGACACCGCATTATGCCTCTTTTAATTTTTTAAATTACTAGATATAAGTATTACAATGTCATTTTACTATCACTGTCTAAGAAGCCTAAAAACAGCTAATAATGAAGCATTTTATATTTTATTTGTTCAAGTTGTTCTATGCTTATAATAAAAATATTAATATATCGGATTTTCTCATTGTGCTTGATGCATTTGTCACTTTTTTTTTTCTTTTTTTTTTTGTTACAGACAAGACTGATGGACATTAGTTTAGAAAGCAGTGGGGGAAGCAGTTACTATAGTAGTACTGCGTCTTCAAGTCCAAGTGGTCCCCCACCAGCATACCCCATCCCAACTAGCCAAGCACTCACGCAGACGCTTTCTCAAAATGTTTCATCTGCTCACTCTCAGCCTCATTCCCAACCAACGGGTCCACCGCCTCCATACCCGCAACACAGTCCAACGTCTCCTGCTCACCACCAGCAACAACAGTCTCAACAGTCGCAGCAACAGCATCACCAACAGCAACTGCAACAACAACAACAAGAACAGCAGCATCAACAGCAGCAGCATCAACAACATCAACAACAACAACAACAGCAACAACAGCATCAACAACAGCAGCAGCAACAGCATCAACAACAACAGCAGCAGCAGCAGCAGCAGCAACAGCAGCAGCAACAGCAACAGCAGCAGCAGCAGCAACAACAGCAGCAGCAACAGCAACAACAGCAACAACAGCAGCAGCAGCAACAACAACAACACCAGCAACACCAACAGCATCAGTCCCCTACGCATCCTCAACACCATCCTCCTTCTCCTGTCCAGCCCATATCTTCACATCACCCTCCATCTCCAGGTCAAGGCCCACTTAGTCCATCCTCCAACCAAAACCCATCATCAGTCCAACACCCTCCAACTCCACAAACACCACAAACTCCAACGTTCATCCCTAGAGTGGTATTAACAATACATGGTTAGTATCTTTTTTTATACAATTGTGCATGTTAAAATGTTATACTTGTAAATAAAAATCACTTAACTTTATATACAACTTTGTACATTACAGCTACTTAGCGACAACAAAAAGCCCTTTCTTTATAGGTGTTTTTTTTACATCAATACATTTTTCAGTAGCATCATGTGTAGTAAATATATATGTTTTCATCATCACTTATTCTTGTTTTCTGGGGGGAGCCCTGTTGGCTCTCTGGAGCTATCCCAGGCTGATATGCTAATGTCAGACTTTGGCATTAGTCATGTGTATGGAGTTCTTAGGCCTAAAGGGGACCATGGCCAGAACCAGGGCCCCTCAGAGAGGCAAGTGGAGCAGTGGCCTATAGAAACCCCCGTGGGGTTGGGAGCAGTCTATGTCTGCCATCGACCGGATCAGGCACCCAGAAAGGTAAGCGCCCCAAAACAAGCCCCCTATTCTGGTTAAAATTGCTACCAAAAGCTGAACTAGTGGATAGAACTCCCTAACAGAAAGCAAGCAAACTAGTGTGGCGTCACACATCGCCGCGCCAAGGGGGAGCCCCAGACCCTTCACGCCGGCTACTCACACCTCAGTTCTTGAGGCTTATTCTATAGGCGAAGGTCGTGTGCTCTGGCTCCGATGTCACTACAGCACTGTGCTTCGTGTGTGGTGTTTGTTTTTTGTGGGTGCGAGAGCCAGGAGTTATCTTCAGTACTCGGGCTGCATGCGCCTAGGGCTGCCTTCCCTTGGGCTTGGGACCACCTTCCACAGGCCCCTCGGGACCTGCCTCTGCTGGTCCGTTCTACCTTTCGGTTTTTCAGCCGCCTGTTAGGCTCTTGGATGTTCTGTTCTCCCTTGTTACCTGCAGGTAAGAGGCAGTTTGCACTGATAGGGATGCAGGGTGCTGCGCAGCTTTGTATTCCCAACATAGCGGCCGGCTCTGTTCCTTGGGGTTCGCTGTCCTCTTGCAGGGTTTTGTTTTAATTTTTGTTTTTGCCTTTGTTTTCTGCCCTATTATTCCATTGTTGTTTGCCCTTCCACGGTTCTTCTCGGTGGCGCCCCCTGCTAGGTCCCCCGTGAGTGCACATGTCCCTCGGGTACAGCTATAGAGGTTTGCTTGGTAGTTTTGGGGGCCGGTTAGCTGCACCCTGCCTGGGACTACCTGAGCACGAGTCCTCTTAAAGTAAAAGCTCAGGACCCTGGGAATCCCCTAGGAGGCGCGTGGGGTCTGATGGATGTGACCCCGGAGTCCCCGCTCGCTGTGTGCGAGTTTGAGGGTTGCTCGGTCCCCTTGTCTCGGGGTGACCCTCATTGGTTTTGCCTCTGCCACACTGCCTGTTGGGTCGGTGATACTTTCGACCCTGAGTCCTGTGAGTGTTGCTGCTTGCTTGTGACTCAATTTACCCAATCCTCTGATGATTCTATTCGGGTAGAGGCAGCGCGTGCGTTGCAAGCTAGGGTTCGTCTGTTGCAACGTGCTCGGTTGGTTGCTCACCCGGATGCCCCGGGACTGCCCCGCTTTGCTTTTCGAGACCCGGACTTTGGGGTGGGGGTCGCTTCAATGCTGATTCAGTCCGCACCTCCTCGTCCTTCCCCTCCTGTTGTTCGTTTTGGTCCACCCCCCTGCTTTTGGCCCCGAAACGTCTGAGGGTTTCGGAGTTGGAGCAGGGGTTACTTGATCTCGAAACTCGGGCAGCCTCGGGAGATGCCCCTTCCAGGGGGGGGCGGCAGAGGCATTTGAGTCTTGTCTCCCGGCTGAAGCTTCTGGGTCTGACCAGTGGGCCCCCTTTCTTCTGACTTCTACGCCTGCTCCATCCTTGTCTCGTGGGGTCGGTGCTTGGGGAGAGGACTCGGCTCCAGGTCCTGCTGTGAAGGACCTCGAGGCTGGGGAGGGGCTGACTTGGGGGCCTTGGGCCCCGCTGGACCCCGCCTGGGTTTTTCTTCTCTCTGAGCGGGGCTTGTTGTTACAAGGTGTGGGGTTTTCTTTTCCCTCCTCTGCGTACGAGTTGGATTTGGTGTCGGCCCCTCCCAGGGTTCGGCTCCGCGTTCCCCCGGGTGCATCGGTTCCGTCTTTCCGGAGCTTTTCGGTATATCGCATCCAACCTGGTGTGGTGCGGGCGGCCCTTGCAGCATACCTCCTGTAATTACCTAAGTGTAGTTACAGGATGAGAGCTACGCTCGTGGTGTCCCGTCGTGTGATCCAGATTATGCCTCGGAAATGGATCCGTCCAAGTTCAGGTTTGGGACTTTGTTCCCTTTCTGGCTCCGTTACGAGGTTCCGGAGTCTTCCTGGCTAGTGGACTGCCCCTTGTTTGTTTTGGATTCCTGGCATTCCTTCTGTCGTTCCCGCACACTTGAGTGGCTGGAAGCTTCCACGGCGATTCAGGTTTTCCTGGGGGGCGATCTTGAGTACCTGAACGAGTGCTTGTTTGCCCCTGCCCTTCCCTGCAATGTGGGCGTTGTTTAGCTCCATGTGCAGATTCCCACCCTTTCGGCGGCGCTCATGGCGGAGGACTTGCGCACCCGGGGCCTTTTGGCTTCGGTCTTGTGGTTCTTTTCCCTCCTGGAGATGTCCTTAGATTGGCTCGTGGTGGATGTGAGGACGCTAGGGTCCGTCCCGGGGTCCGGCGCCTTGTCCTCGGCCATGCGTTCGTCGGCTGCCATGTTGAAGCTTTTCGCGCAGATTTTGCAGGATACGGTTTCCCTGTTTTATGCTTCCTGTCTCGCATGTTGGCAGGCAGTGCTGGGTTCCTCCATGGAATCTACTTGGGCTCTGGCTCTTAGGCTGTCGTTGCCTTTTTGTCCTCTTCTGTTTGAGGAGTCGGCCGTGGTGCAGTTTATCCTGGCTGCGTTGTCGGCTTATCATTCGATGTCGGACTTGTTGGTTTTCCAGGGTCCCATGGTGGGTCTTCCCAGAAGGGTCTTGCCAAGGCTCGGGGTTCCCCTCATCATGGTAGGCCACTGGTGTCAAGTTCGGGTTCGGCTCCTGCTTCGGACCCGCCCTCGTCTGGTCAGTGTGGTGTTGGCTCTGTGCGGGGTCCTGGGTTCTCGTAAGGGGCACTGGCCATTTTGCGGTTTGCCCCATTGACGGGCCGATGGGGGGGGGGGAGACTTGCACTATTCGCCCATGCCTAGTCCCACGATACGTGGGAAAAAAAAATAAACAAGGTAACAAACAAATCTTTATCAACTCAACAGGCCACTCGTTCGAGCTGGCCTTCCTCGTGAGGTTGGCTTGCTACAGTTGCACCCCAGATCCCTTCCCTTTTGGCTGCCTTGGTGATGGAGGCCGTGGCGGTGTAGATGCTTTTCAGCAGGACTGGTTGAAGTTGGGTTACCTGTACCTCTTTCCCCCCTAGTCTAGCTGTTGCTTCGGGTTTTAGCTCGGCTGGAGTCCAATCAGGGGCGGGTTCTCCTTCTGGTTCATGGTGGCTGACCCAGCCTTGGTTTCAGGTGCTGCTTGCTCGGTGTCCGACCCCAGGGCGTTCTCCACGACTCGGCCTCTTTCAGCAGGTTGGGCCGGTGAGGTACCTTGCTGGTTTGATATATTCTTCCGCGCTTCGTGTCTGGTATTTCTGACGCATGTGTGTATGGTGATCAGGTGGCTTCTCTCTTCATGTCTTACCTGCGGTCTTCTTCTCGGAGACAGTATGACGTCTCTTGGTGTTCTTTTCGCCACTTCCTTTCTTTTCATAGGTTGACTTCCGTTTCTGTTTATGTTGTTTTGTCTTTCCTTTCTTGGCTCTTTCACAACCAACATCTTATACCGAATATTGTCGCCTCTTATCGTGCGGCACTGGCAGACCCACTCCAGTTTGCATTCGGGGTGGATGTCACTTGGTCTCCGTTCTCTCTCTTGAGCGTTTTTCTACCTCTGGCCTGCTCATGCTCCGCCAGAGCCATCCTGGTCTTTGGATTGGGTGCTCTCTTTTTCTCTCTTCTCAATTTGTTGTGGCCCCTTCAGTCCAAGATTGTTTTCAAAAAGCTTTGTTTTTGTTGGCTTTGGCCTTTGGGGGGTTGGGTCGGTGAGCTTCATGCTCTCCTCCAGCGCAGGGGTTTCTGCTCTTTTGGTTCTGTTGGACGTTTTTGGTTTGTTTTGCAGCCGTCTCCTCCTTTTCTGGTGAAGAATGAGATGATGGACTTCCGGAGGGGTCCATGGGTCATTGATGATTGGTTGGCCAGGCCGGGGGTGTATCATGTCTTGTGTCTGGTTGTGGCTTTATGCCATTACCTGTGTGGTTCTGTGTCCGGGGATGCTCTTGGGTTAATGCGATATCCCTCATTCCCTGTTCCAGGGCTTGGGTCTCTCAGGTTGTCCAAAGGGTTATCAAGTTTAGCCAGCCTGCAGTCTACCCTCATGCCCGTGATGTTTGGAAGTTTGCAGCTTTTGCTGCTGTGTTTGGGAATATGTCTTGGGCTGACATTTGGGCAAGGGGGAGGTTTTGGAGGTCAAACAGGGTTCTGGCCGCCCGTTATCTCATGAATGTTTCGATCCCTTAGCAGTCTTGTGTGGCCTTGGGCCATCGGTTGCAGCCAGTTGTCCTGTCTTCGACTTGAGGCACACATTGCTGCTGCCTTCTGGGTAAGTCTCTCTTTTACTTATCTTTGGTAGCTAGCTCCAGGGAGCTAACGGGGCTTCCCTCAGAAAACCAGCATTGAATGTAATGTATTGCCATTTTCTGGGTGAGTCCCGGAGGCTCCCTGGCACCTCCCTCCCTCCCTCCAGTCGGCGGTTTTCTTCCATTTGCTCAGTCTTTGAATTGGTGAGCAGGCGGCCGGCTTGGGTGGGCATGACTGCAGCGCGAACAAGCGGGGCGTCTGGTTGATGACGATTTGTTTCTTACCTTGGTTTTCTTGGGGGAAGTTCTTGGGCTCAGTGTGGTCTTGGATTGCAATTTTCTACCAGTTGGGGTCTGTTTTGGGAGAGCCTACCTTTCTGGGTGCCTAACCCCGGTCGATGGCAGACAATGAATATGCTCTCAAAAAGTGAAGTTTTCATAGATCATTGCTCCCTGCGCCTCTGAGGGGAACCAGGTTCTGGCTCATGGTTTCTGGTAGGCAGAGCTCCATGTAACTGAAGCCCCAGACTAATATAGGTAATATCAGTCTGATAGCTCCAGGAAGCCTCTGGGGTCTCGCCCAGAAAATGGCGTTTCATTACATTCAACACTGATGTTTGCATTCTGTTTCATTTAATTAACTACTGTACTGTACTTTGCAAACATATTTAATATTTATACTGTGTTCGTGTTTTGCTGGACCTCCCCTAGAGTCCTGTGGTCCCAAGGCTTTATTCCTGATTACAACCATATTCCCACATTACATCAGCCTGTGCACTGTGCACACCTTGAACAAATTGTATTCACTGTTTTCATTACAGCACTGTAATCATTGCAGCTCTCATTATTAATTACATCACATTGTTCACATCCAGAAATATTCTGACCTCAGACTACCTTCTTGAGCTGCTTTATGAGATTAAAACTTTCCTAATTTAAATTTAATACTTATTTCTAAATATTTAATTGCAGATGGAAATGAAAGTGAAGGCCTACTACAAGATGACATCAGTTTTGGAGATGTATTTGGTAATTCAAATCCATATGAACAAGGCTCCTTTGAATCAGATATTCTTGAAAATATGAGGTATGTCAAATATATTATTGCAGTGGTACCTCTAAAATCTGGAACTCAATATAACAGTTTTCTTTAAATATTGGACCCATTTTCTTTCTGGATCTGAATTTTCGATCAGCTGCAGTGAAATCACTAAAAGCAAATGTTGTTTAGAAATCTTTTACTAAAGATTACTTTATTGTCCAGTTAGTAACTACAAGTTTTTAGTTTGTCATTGGTCGAGTACTGCCACATGTCCTGTGATCATCTTACTGTCTGCTGGCTCTGTTTCCTCAAGAATTTTTATGCATTTGTATTGCAATATCAATCATCTGTGAGTAGAAAATATGTCTGCCAGTAAGAATATAAAACTGATGCCTTCCTTCTGGGAGCTGCCCATCAGGGGATGGCCACAGCAAACATTTCTCCAGAATACTCTTATTATCATCACACAAACTTTTCATGCTTTCGAGATCTTTGACCTCTTCCCTGCCCGTTCTTTCATGTATTGCTTCACACTTTCCTTCAACGATACCGGTCATCTGCCTCTACTGTATTATCACATTATTTCTCCCTTGAATATCTTTTGCATTAAATGATTCTCAGGCATTCTACTAATAAGTCCATACCACCTCAGTATATTGTGCCTGAGCCACTCAACAACTCTGCATTTCATTCCCTTGCATGTTTCAAACATACCATATCTCTCTTGTATTTTATCATTGCTAAACCCATCCCACATATACTTATATCAGCTGCTTTTTTTAAAAATAGCAGCAAGAGTTGCCTGGCTAGAAAAGATAGAAACATGAAAAGACATCATAATGTTAGAAGAAGAGCTTAAATTCAAGTTGGAAAGTACAGTAATTGTATTTGGCTCAGGTCCTTTTAGGGCTTGGAGATGCCTTCTTCACCATTCAAGCATCACATACAGAACTCAGCTGTGCCCCTAGGTTTTCATTTTGGGCTTCAGGTTTGGGGAGGAGCCCGAGGTGGGTCCAAGGGTTCCCTTCAAACTTTCCTGGTCTCTGATTCTCCCTATGGGGTTTTCTAAGTTTGTGTGGAGCATTTTCCCTATCCTCCCTCAATGTTTTAGCTTGATCCTTGGCTGCCCCCCAGGTTCACTGCCATATAATATTAGTGTCCATGTGTCATGTTTCAGGAGGATTCCTTCTTCCTGCCTTCTGCCTCTCACTGCTCAGATGGTCTTTACTGGGGGGAGCCCCTATGGCTCCCCAGAGCTTACTAGGCTGATATGCTAATGTCAGACTTTGGCATCAGTCATGTGTATGGAGTTCTTATGGGCCTACCGGGGACCACGAGCCAGAACCTGGCCCCCTCTAGAGAGGCAAGGGGAGCAATGGCCTATAGAAACCCCTGTGTGAATGGAAGCATTCTATGTCTGCCATCGACCAGGTTAGGCACCCAGAAAGGTAGGCGTCCCAAAACAAATCCCTATTCTGGTGAAAATTGCAACCAAAAGCCGAACGAGTAGATAGAACTCCCCCCCAAAAAAGTATGACGTCACCCGTCGTCGCGCCACTGTCTGCGCAGCTCCCCTCTTCCTGGGAGGGGGAAGGGGTAGTCCCAGACCCACCGCACCAGCGAACCACACCCCATTTCTTGAGGCTGATGCTATTGGCTCGGTTGTGTGCTCTGGCTCCAGTCTTTTTGCGGCGCTGTGCCTTGTGTGTGGCGGCTGTACTCTAGGGGTGCGAAAGCCAGGAGTTATTCTTCAGTACTCAGGCTGCATGCGCTTAGGGTTCCCTTCCCTAGGTGCCTTGTAAGTACTGCCCTTGGAGCTTGGGGTTACCTTCCACAAGTTCCTCAGGGTCTGCCTCTGTGGGTCCATTTAATTGCTCGTTTTTCCAGCCGCCCTTTGGGTACTTGGGTGTTTTGTCTCCCTAGTTTACCTTAGGAAAGGAGGCAGTTTTGCACTGGTAAGGGGCGCAGGGTGCTGTGCAGCTTGTTGTCACCTATCACAGCGGCCGGTTCTGTTCCTTGGGGTACGTTGTCCTGCAGGGTTTTGTTTTTCTTTTGTTTTTGCCTTGGTGGGGGGTTCTGCCCTATTTACCACTGGTGTTTGGCCTCACCCTGATACTTGGTGGTGCCCCCTGCTTTGTCCCCGTGAGTGTACACGTCCCTGGCGTTCAGCTTTAGACAGTTTGTTTGATAGTTTTGTGCGCCGGTTAGCAGTACCCTGCCTGGGTTTACCTGAGAGCGAGTCCTCTTCAAGTAAATGCTCAGAACCCTGGAAATAATCTAGGGGACACATGGGTCCGATGGATGTGACCCTGGGGTCCCCCCCCCCTCGCTTCGTGCGAGTTTGAGGGTTGTTCGGTCCCCTTGTCTCAGGGCAACCCTCACTGTTTTTGCCTCCATCACGCAGCCTGTTGGGTCGATGACATTTTCGACCCTGAGTCCTGTGAGTATTGCTGCTTGCTGGTGACTCACTCTACTCAATCTGTGGATGATCATCTTCGGGTACAGGCTGCGCAAGTGTTGCATTCTAGGTTTCGTTGGTTGCTCACCCGGATGCCCCGCGGCTGCCTCGTTTTGCCTATAGGGACCCGGACTTGGGGGGTGGGGCTCGTTTCGACCATGGTTCAGTCCGCACCTTCTAGTCCTTCCCCTTCTGTTGTTCGTTCTGGTCCCCTTCCCTTGCTTCCGGCCCTGAAACGTCTGAGGGTTTCGGAGTCGGGGCAGGGGTTAGTTGGTCTTGAGACTCAGGCAGCCTCGGGGGATGCCACTTCCGGTGTGGCGACTGAGGCATTCGAGTCTCTTTCCCTGGCCGAAGCCTCTGGGTCTGACCAGTTGGCCTCATTCTATCCGGTTTTTACGGCTGCGCTGGCCTTGTCTGGTGGGGTCGGTGCTTTGGGGGAGGACTCGCCCCCAGGGTCCTGCAGAGGAGGACCCTGGGGTTGGGGAGGGGCTGACTTGCTTGGGGGCCTTGGGCCCCGCTGGACCTCGCCTGGGTTTTTCTGCCCTCTGAGTGGGGCTTACTGTTACAAGAAGTGGGGTTTTCTTTTCCCCCCCCTCTGCGTACGAATTGGACTTGGTGTCTGCCCCTTCCCTGGTTCGGTTCGGTGTTCTCCTGGGTGCTTCGGTTCCGTCTTTCTGGAGGTTTTTGGCTTATCGCATCCATCCTGCTACAGATGGATGATGGATGCTCTCCTCCGGTGCAGGAGTTTCTGCTCTTTCGGTCGGGGTGATCGGTTTGTTTGTCTGCAGCCTTCTTCTTTTTGGGCGAAAATGAAACTGCTGCTTTCCTCAGGGGTCCTTGGGTTGTTGATGCTTTTTTGTTAGGCCGGGGGTGCATCAAGTTTTGTGTCCCCGTTGCGGCTCTCTGCTGTTATTTGCGCACCACGACCGCTTCTGTGTCCGGGGACGCACTTTGGGTTGATCCGGTTTCCTTTCTTCCCTATTCGCGGGTGAGGGTCACCCAGGTCGTCCGCATGGTTCTTATCGCTAACTAACCTGTGGTCTATCCCCATGCCCATGACATTCGCAAGTTCGCGGCTCTTGCCGTTGTCTTTGGCAATATGTCTTGGGCTGACATTCGGGTACGGAGATTTTGGCGGTCGAACAGGGTCCTGGCTTCTTGTTACCTTTCTTAATGTCCTTGGATCCAGTCGGGCCTGTGTAGCTTTGGGTCGGCAGATGCAGCCAGTTGTCTCGACTTCAGGTTGAGGAATGAGCAGCAACCGCCTCCTGGGTAAGTCCCTCTTTTTTTTTCCTCTGTGGGTAGTTAGCTCTGGGAAGCTGTAGGGGCTTCCCCCCAGAAAAACAGTATTGAATGTAATGAAACGCCATTTTCTGGGTGAGACCCGGAGGCTCCTCAGCATCTCTGCCACCCTCGGGTCGACGGTTTTTGCGTGTTTTGACATTTAGCCTCAGAACTGGGTGTGGATCGCTGGTGCGGTAGGTCTGGGGCTCCCCCTTTCCCCTCCCGGGAAGGGGGGGAGCTGCGCAGATGGCGGCGAGGCAACAGGTGACGTCATACTAGTTTGCTCGTTTTTGTTTGGGAGTTCTAGCCACTTGTTCAGCTTTTGGTAGCAATATTTTCACCAGAATAGGGGTTTGTTTTGGGATGCTTACCTTTATGGGTGCCTGACCCGGTCAATGGCAGACATAAAATACTTCCAACCACACGGGGGGCTTCTATAGGCCATTGCTCCCCCTTGCCTCTCTGATGGGGTCAGGTTCTGTTCGTGGTCCCCGGTAGGCCCAAAGAACTCCATACACATGACTGATGCCAAAGTCTGACATTAGTATATCAGCCTGGATAGCTCCAGGGAGCCTCCAGGTCTCGTCCAGAAAATGGCATTTCATTACATTCAACGCTGGTTTTTTCAGATTGGTACAATTGTTTTTTATTTTTCATTTTTTATAGAAAAAGGTTCATTAAGTGTATGTCAGGTAGCCTGCTCCAGTTGTGTATAAAAAAATGAAAAAATTGAACAAATTTGAGAAAAGGAGAAATATCATAAAGGTTTGTTCAATGTTTGTCAGGTAGGATGCTCCATTATGACATTTTCTTGTTTTCAAATTTGTTCAATTTGTTTTGTATTTTTCATATTTTTTATTAATAATGGAGCAGCCTACCTGACATTCACTGAACGAACATTTTTGACATTTGTTCTTTTTTCAAATTGTTTCAATTTTTTTTTATAATTTTGTCTAAAAAACACAAATCAATGCTTTGCAACATTACAGAAGTCACCCCTTTACATCCCAGCATCATTAGCATCTTTAAAACAAAACAAAAAAACAGTTATTTGCACCGTTGGAGGTGTCCGAGAATTTGCGAGAACCAGCGGGAACACTAGGAAGCACCATGTGCTGTTCTCATTGATCAAACGAAAGCTCGTCAATCGAGACATTTTCGCTGCGTGGTGTGCTCGTTATTCAAAATGGCTCGTAGATTGAGGCACTCGTCACTCGAGGTTTCACTGTACACCCAATAAGCCCATACTAAGATACACAACAATGTGTAGTAGGAAATACGGAAACATGCAATGTAAAGACCC